GCGCACCTATATCAGGGTGATATCCTGCCGGGCAGCAGGTGACAGGGGGTATGTACACGTTAAATATTTCGAGCTCAACATCGCCTGACCGGATAGCGATGCCCTGACATTCTAGGGTGGTGTCCCTGCGGTCGATGTCTGCTTTGATAAGACGATACTGCACGGTGTGGTGCGTGATGAACGCTAAGCCACCACCATGATCTCACTCGCGATCTCGACGGTGCACGTTGTACCCCGCACAATTAAAGAGTGTTGAATAGCTGTGCAGCTTCGTCTCTTGGACCGCAGCTATCAATATACCATGCCTTCCCATGAAGATGGTTATCTCCTCGATCTTGCTCTGAAGCCCGTTACAGTTAAATTGAAGGAGCTTCATGTGATTCGGGAGACGTGTGGTGATGCAGGGTGTAAGATGTGTGTGGCCGTGACGCCATTGGCTGTGTGCGCTGCTGAGGTGGTTGCCGCCCTGTGGTGGTGGTGGGTGGCGTCGCGAGCGTGCAGCGCAACACGGGCCCTCGAAGTTCCTCGTCCAATCTCGCGTAGTACGCAGATCTGAACATGCCCTAAAGTGGCACCAGCCAAGGCAGGGCTAAATTGCTGAAACAATAGTCATGTTTTGGGGAAAAACTCAAGTAACTCTGTAATCGTAGACCTGATCGATTAACTTGATGAATTGGTAAAATTATTTTTGTATAATAGTTTCCTTACCTCAAAAAAGCGTTCCTTTGTATCACCTGGGCCATAATCTAATAGCACCGATAAAGACATTATTGAACAATCAAAATTGCCACCTCTGGCGGTTTTGTTCGGGTGTACAATGATGTGCTCTTTAGTTGGTAATTTGTAACGGCGTATCAATTGATTTTTTTCCTTCTCATTCAACTCTTTTGGGGTTTCCTATAAGTAAATAACACATATCAGTTATCGTACTACTCAATAAATATATGTATATACATATGTACATCTTCTTCTACTTCTCGGCAATTTTGGCCGAGTTCAACAAAGCACGCCAGTCGCTTCAGTCTATATAATATCTGTTAATAAAAAATTAAGACTTACCTCTGGATTTTTGCTTGAATCATATTCATCAAGGATGACAATGTCAGTCATATCAACGTCAATAACGTCATTTTCATTCCATTCTTCTTGTTCTTCTTGTTGGTCTTCTTCCTTAGGTTTATCGTTTTCTTCGATCGCGACAGGCTCTTCAGTTTTAGGCGATTCTTTTTTCTTGTTTACTGGTTCGATGGTTTTAGAGGGCTTGGCTTCTGTTTTTGCCTCTTCTACCTTCGGCAATGTCTTTTTTGCCTCTTTTTCTTCTGCCTTTTCAGTGTTTAATGCCTTTGCCAAACGTGCCATTACTACATTTCGAGCACCTGAAAAATCACAAAGTGGTTGTAGAAAACTGTTGGTATGGCTGTAAATCTGTATAAATTAGTTATGTACCTTTGGAATTTAGATTACGTGCGGTTAACTCATCGCGTATTTCCTGCACCTTCATTGACTTCAACTCCAACTTCGAATAATGTGTAGCTTCCGTTTGGTCATCCTGAAATCAGCGGCATTTAATAAAACTTAAGCGACCAATACAATATGTTCAATGACTTCAATCAATCTTCTCCCTCATTGACTATTTTCTTCTTCTTCTAAATATTTAATGTTAATGATATATGTACACATACACATACATATACTTATGTAAAATTAGGTTTGAACAGCAAATTTCGTTATTATAGACCAAGTCTGATTTGCTGACATTATTAAATAAACTGCATTTATTCAAAGGGATGTGAATATGAATTTTAAACTTGAAAGGAATCTGCGCATAAAACTGAATGCTTTATGTATGTAGTAAAACGGAGTATTTTTAAGGAAGATTTTCGAATGCTTTATCATATACTGTATTAAAATGTAGCAATAGCGTAAGAATGTGTTAATAATAAATGTGCCATACCGAATGGAACATAGCCTGCTTGCATTTGGGGTTTTATTAAACTATGTTTGTAGTATGGACTTAGCCCTACATTTAATAAAAAAAAACATCTATGCGCTGCAACTAGACATAATAATTTCGTTTTACACGCACATTATAAGCGCTTGAAAGAAAACAGTAATTAGATGGTTCGCGTACATAAACGAAATCGACGAAACAAAAAGACTCATCTCTACAGCGGCATACATACAAACGTACTAAAGAAAACCTATTCATTTTAATAACTTAAAAATGTCATTTGCATGTGTGCCTTTAGCTCATCAATGTTGTCACCATCAGCTCTCATGTCTACCTCCTCTATAGTAATAACTTCCGTAGAAGTATCAGCTCCGGTCTCAGCATCCCCATTGACAGCACTTTCGCCCCCTCCATTAGTTGTTGCAGTTTCGGTCCCTTCTTCATTGTTCGATGTTATACTTTCATTTATGACAGTTTTATCAGCATCTTCCTGTGCAGCGTGGGTGTTTGAAGTGTCCGCAGCATCAGCATCCTCAGCAGCTGGCGAAGAGGCAGCTCCTTCAGCATCAGCGGCGGTACCACTTGCAGCGGCTGCTTTGGCGGCAGCACTTTTGCGTGCGATTACATTTTCCACAGCATTCTTGTAAACTTGGCTAAGTTCTTGCCATTGTGTAGCATTCGGCATACAAGAATGCACATCTGGCAAATAAATAACAACGGTTTCTATACGCGGTGGTGCGTCCTTCTTCTTGCGATCTTGACGATGATAGTGAAGCTCCACAAAGCGGTACCTGTGCAAATAAATCGAACCAAAGAAACCCCAATTGAATACATCGATTTCCAAACGCCGTTCGACACACGACCATATGTCATGAAAACGCCCCCGCAAATGTACACCAGCAGCAGCAACGTTCGCATTGAAGTTTAAAGTTGTTAGTGTTGAGTGAGTATTAAATATTTGTGGTTGTTTGGCATCGCGGGCAGTTTTTGGGTGTTGAGGTATCACACCGAATAACAACGAGAGAAACAACAAAATTTAGAGAAGGAACGCAGTTGCAATTATTTATCGGTCCCGATTCCAATGACAACAAGCGCATTCACATGGCGGTCGTTTTATTTGTTGTTCCATGATGATGTTAAATGTTGTTGTTGTTGGCCGATCCGTTGATGAGTTGGGGTGTCATCCACAGAACGCAGTTCGTTTGTGATTTTTGGTTTTGATTATATTTTATTTTTATTGGATATAATGAGTGCAATCACCAGTGAAATGGTGAAGAAAAGCAGACGCATTTACGGACATGGAAAAGAAAGAAAAAAATCATAAGGAATGTGGAAAATTTTTGTGTGCTCGTTTTTTTTTTTGATGTTATTAAATTTTTGGTTTGTAATGAAAAGGGGGTAACGTGGATTACAATCGCATAACATAGTAATATTGACATTAAGAAAATAAATTTAGTATTTCGCTGTTTAAAATTTTGTGCACCTTGCTGTAAAAAATTACATATGTATATTTTGTTAATAAAAAAGCAAATAAGTTGTTGTACGTACACACCTCACACAACCCAGTTATAGAAATAGGATAATTTACACTTTTTTAAATCGCTAAAGTAAAATTGCAAATGAAAACTATTGTAAGAAAATTCCACTACTAAATTATAAGCGAGAAAGCGCTGTAATTTTAGGCTTGCCCATTTCATTGAGAAAAATTAAAAAAAAAAAAGTACGTGAGTAATTTATATTTGATAAGGTTTATTTTGTCAAACAAAACGCTATAAACAATTTCCTTATTAGTTTAAATAGCACCCAGCGACATGCTATCAACTGATTTCTTACTGGCACTATCGGGGGACGTATATGGGCATATCCTGGGTTACGGACGCGACATTCGTACGACTTTAGAGTTAAATAAATCATACGAATACTGAAGTCACTTTTAAAAAAATTTGCCGTTAAGTAGCTTTTATACCGTTCTTCGGTTGACAAACAAATTAGGTGCGCTTGGAACACCTAATTGGCACAACGGACGCGACAAAAACGGAAGTGATTTCAGAGCACATGGAAAAATAAGCAAAACTCAGCGAATCCTGTAAGGTTTTATTTATTTAACAATCTTTAAATAAATTCAAATTATGTGTAACGGTCCAATTCATTTCTAATCAGAAGCAATTCGTTGTTGATTTAATTTTGAATTAAAATCTGGTACCGGACGTGACTATTCGGACGTGACAGATTTTTCCCCTATACAATATTTTTACTAGTAACACATACTAAATTTAATTATTTATTTAATTTTTTCAGTTCTTCTCTCCACCGTTTCGCGTTTTCAAAACCTCTTTTCGCCATCTGAATACAAAATTCAAAGTTATAAAGCCGTTTGAATTCCTTTACTTGCATTTTCGGTTTACATTTTTTTGGGAAATGCCCATATGTATTTTCTTCTTATTGTGACCCTCTTCGACATACGCTTCAGTTTCTTTGTCGTATCGACCATGGTTCCAACAACCATGTGCCACAATCCTGTATGCCATCTCTTATCGGCAAAAATTCTTCCTGCAACAATTTTCAACTTCCCCTAAAAATGTAATGTAATTTTGCTCTATCAATCTTCCCTTCCTTGCAAGTTTTTTTGGAAATCGCAAACGCGATTTGACAAATACCGTGGTAATTGGTAACAATTATTAGCACCACGAACATAACTATTGTTTCCATTTTCGGTTAGGTTTCCGGATATTTTGCTGATTGGGGTTATACAGCCCGCGACAAAACGATAGCACCTCAACGTTTGGAACAGTTTTGACTATTAATATTTTGTTTGTTTATGTTCATTATTTTTAAATAAAAGATAGCTCCGTTTATCTTAACAAATCTATATACATATACATATATATATATACATATGAATGGTCGCCTCAAATAACGTTGTAAGTGACAAAACTTTAATTTTATAAAATAAAAAAAATAAAATTGTTTACTGACGCACAAACGGGGATTTGATTTGGTTTTCTACTTTTTCGGTATAGCACTCTTCAAGAATCTTGACTTTAAAAAAATAAAATATACACATTAATATCTTTAAATTCACGGAAACTAGCTTTGAACAAATTGTCGCTTACAACGTTATTTGAGGCGACCATTCATATATATAAAACAAAGTCGTGTTAGTTACACCATTTATAACTCAAGAACGGCTGGACCGATTTTTATATTTGCTTTTTGAATTTGTCTACCTTCCGAATAGCAGAATAGCTATTAAAATAACCGCTAGGTGGCGCTGGAGTCGAGTTATTATAAAACCCGTATTTATGGTCCGATTCGCCTCATATTTGAGATATATGTATTGACAATAGGAAAAACAATACCATAGAAAAAAAGAGCCGCCAGGTGGCGTTGGAGTCGAGTTATGATTAAAAATCGTGTGTATGGTCCGAATATCCTGAAATATGTATAGAGATCATTGGAAAATTAATTCTTTCGAAAAAAATAGCCGCCAGGTGGCGCTGATATTGAGTTACATATGTACATATATGTAACTAAAAATCGTATTTACGCTCGAATTTATTTCATTATTGAAATATATGAATTCACAACTCAAAATTCAAAAAATCAAATCCCTTATTACTGTTAAGAGGCTCATGTCTATAGACCTTGACTAACCCATGCATATCTCTGAAAGTGTTCATGGTAGAGTACTGGAGCTTGGTATGGAGATATGAAAAAAGCGCATACTCATGGAGAAAAAATATGGCTTTTGGAAAAGGGGGCGTGGCACCTCCCACACAAACCGAGTTTTTCATACT